TTTTTAATCCTGCCTTCGTACCAATCTTTCGCATCACCTTTCAAAAATTCCGTGAATTCTTATTTGCATGTTATGTCCGGTACCTGGGTCATAATTAGCGCATTCGCATCATTGGCGAAAATCTCTAATAAAATCTTCTGGATCTTTTAATCCGCAAAACTTGATTAGGTGGTTGTATATTATTCTGTAAATTTAAAATTCTTTGATTTAAAAAATTAAGTCTTCCAATTCTAAATTAACGTCGCAAATTAATTTCTTAATTTCGAACTCAGTTTCCACTTAGTATATTGACATGTTTGTGTTCTCGTTTTATTTTTCCACTTCCACTTACAGTAGCAAATTTCTATTGCGTAACACAGATTCTACGAATTGTATGCGGGCATACGAACTCATGAGATACAATACAACATTGTTCCGTAACGTGATATGCAAAGAAGCATACAAAAGAAATTTTCCCCTTTGTCTTCATGCATGGAGGGTTCTCGATCTATTTTGCTAATCGGCGATTCGGCGCTTCAATACGGAGAAGTATCACATGTTTGCGTAAGTAAAACGTATAAACAGGGGCTGAGTTGGACGGGCAGATCGCAACTCTTCTTTTATCACTATCTTTCACTAAATCATACGAAAAACATCGACTTGGACGTGAATTACTCACTGGGCCCATGGGATTTTGATGTTAATACAACAAAAACTATCGAGAAGGAGGTCGAAGATGCATATAACAAGGATAAAGACTTCTACGCGTCAAATACTATCAAGACCACCCGGTGCGACTACAAATTGTTACGCGGAATATCTTGAAACACTTGGTAAGCAAGGTAAGCAACACACGTTTATGGGAGGATAGAGGAGCAACGGGGAGAAGAATTTGAATACTGTTACCGGTTTTGTGCTATATTGCAAGAGAGGCAGTTGGGGGGATTGTAGAGACATTACGAGGTTTGTAGAGTAGCCATGGGGTCAACAGAAGGAAAATAGTTGGAATGCATTACAACACGCGCGTTGGGAGGAGTACAATTAGGAGGGTAGTCAACACGCGTTACTGGGCATTTATTTACGACGTACAACGCGATCTGATATTTTCTTGTTGTATTCATTATATCTCTTCCTATGTATATTTGATATGTTGATGCTACATTTCTTCTGTAATTGGTGTAAAATCTGCTTACTTACCCACCTATCCATACTCATGTCCCTCCATAGTCATCCTTCATATTTGCAACATACCTTCACAAAATTTATGTTGCTATTGCAATTGCACAGAATGCAACTACACAACTTGTGAGTATGAGTATTTTTGTTTGTTATTGTATGGTTTTTACAAACCTGATGCTCAATGCTTGTATTGTAATTTTTTAAGACACTGGAATATGAAGACAGCACAATCAAAAAAAGGCAAGCACCACCAGCACAAAAATTGCAAAATGCTGAACATATTGGATGGAAGAAATACCAAACAATTTGCACAATACCAGACAAGCAATCTATGCTTGTGCTCAACTCCACCAGTTTTCAATGATGCTTACAGCAACTTTTACTTTGGCAAACTTCACATCAATTTTATTATGATTGTTGATGATCTTAAAGACAAGGCAATGCTTTTTCTGCAGCCATGGTGATTTGGCAAATCACTGATTCTTAGCATGCTGGCCCATTTTCATGGCATCAAGTACAAAGAGCAATACAACAAACTATTCAAGGATATGATAATATCAAGGCTTGCAAAATCACACCAGCTTGCTATTTGTGTTGATTTGGAATCTCATCTCCCATGATGTGTTCTTCCTTGGCCTTCTTACAGTCCAGATCTTAATCCGATTGAGAATGTCTGCATAAAGATATTGCAAAAAGTAGATCAGCATGGCTGAGCTTTATGCTCTATGTTGGGTGTCTCACTTTTACTGAACAAACACCTGAAAAACTGCTGCAAATCCCCAATTCTGTTGCTGCCCAATGTTTTGGAGAAGCAGTTCTTGATCACTACAGGCTGAGCAATATTGACATCACAAACACCCTGAAGCAGCTTGTATTTATGGGTGACATATCCATTCTCCTGGGATACTACAAAAAACTGATGTGCAAGAATAATGTCAGTGAAAGCAACCTCAAAAACAAGACTGAGGAGAACCATTGTGACAGCATCTGTTTATGTTGTGTGTTTCTGAGGAACCTGCTGCTGGTGCAGGTAGCACCTGAATTCGAGATTACTCAGCCTTCAAAAATTCCAGGCCAGATAGATATGTTGATCAAGACACAAGGCACCAAACGAGTGATCATATCTGAGTAGAAATTTGTCAGAATCAACTTCATTGACATCAAGCCTGTGCCAGCATTGCTAGTACTAGGTATTCCATGGAAACCAATCAATTGTTGAAAAGCAGATGCTTTGAATATGTTCAGGATCGAGGCTAAGTACAATGTATTCCGCTTAGTGGCACGAAAATCTCCGATTCCGCAGTAGTTGACACGATCGTCGAGAATTTTGACAGTTCGTCCCAATATATCGAAAATTCTTGACAAGTACAGAATCGCCCCATTTTAATTTAGCCAAAAATCTTGACAGGCAGTGAAACAATAATTAGTTATAAATACGAGTCGTAGTCGATAGCTAAAATTCATCTCCAGAACAATCTTCAGTTCAGATCATTCAGCAAGACGTTGCTATTAGGATAGTTTTCTTTTATTCTAATAAAAATCCGATTTAAATATAAACTTTATTATTTCGTTTATTCCCTGATAAAAGATACTTAGTATCATTGGTGACTTTTTCGCCGACGCTAAATCGAATTAATCCTGTTAATTCTATTTAGTACTTTTTTTTGCATTCAGGGTTATTGTTAACAGTTAGATAGAATAATTCCCCGATTCGATAGGCTTTGAAACTAATCCATCAAAGAAATCGCAGTGATTACGTGAGGTTAAACAATAATCCAGGAACGATGTATACAAGATCGATATTATAGATCGTGAGTATAGATCCTAATTTAAATGTCACTAATTACTTGCAGCTTCTCTCCATTTCTCACCATTTAACAAATGGAATTTTGTTGATTCACTGGACTGGCACTCTGCGCAATGTGGGATTCACAGAAAATCGGTTTCTACAGTGCAAAAGCTTCAAGTTTGCTTAACACATTTTACTAAGGGGGGTTGAGTTACGTAAGCCTTCAAAAAATTATTATAAAATGTATAAAAAGTGAACGAGATAAATTGTGTACCGTATTTCCTTATATGGATGTAGTCTTGCCCCCTTCTTGAAGAATTACGTGATGATTAGCAACTATAGTTTAATATTGACGTCTAAGAACATCATTGACGTCTAAGAACATCATCGACGTCTAAGAACATCATCGACGTCTAAGAACATCATTGACACTATATAATATATTCTGTTATGAGAATCATAATTAAAGGCGGTATTTGGAAAAATACTGAAGGTAGGGTAAACGCGAAACAGTTTTTAGATCCTACAATCTTTTACTTACCGTTTAACAGATGAAATTCTGAAGGCGGCTGTTAGCAAGTATGGCAAGAACCAGTGGGCTCGTATATCTTCGCTGTTGGTGAGGAAATCGCCAAAACAATGCAAAGCGAGGTGGTATGAATGGCTAGATCCTAGCATCAAAAAGGTATGCTGAATGTTCGACGTGTGCGATTCTTTGTTCCTCCTTCCCGATCTGTGTCTGTACCCAAATATACTTATCCCGATTCAAAATCTATTACAGACGGAATGGTCCAAAGAAGAAGACGAAAAGTTACTGCATTTGGCTAAACTTATGCCGACACAATGGCGTACGATCGCTCCTATTGTTGGTCGCACTCCTTCGCAATGTCTCGAGAGATACCAAAAACTTCTTGATGAAGCAGAGGCAAAGGAAGGTGCTGATCTGGGTTTAACGGGACCTGGTGACGTGGGTCCAAGCGCTGACGATGTAAGAAGGTTACGACCTGGTGAAATAGACCCGGATCCGGAAACAAAACCCGCAAGACCTGATCCCGTAGATATGGACGAAGACGGTATTTGCGAGAGTCTAGTCCATTGATAACATTAGCTGTTCTAGGAGAGAGTATAAGGACTTATTTTTTTTCTTTTTGCTTATAGAAAAGGAAATGCTTTCAGAGGCTCGTGCTCGTTTGGCAAATACACAAGGCAAAAAGGCCAAGCGTAAAGCTCGGGAAAAACAATTGGAAGAAGCACGGCGATTGGCCTCGCTGCAAAAAAGGAGAGAATTGAAAGCGGCAGGCATCGAGTATGTACATGTTACTTGTTTCACTTTTCCTATCGTTTGTCCTGTAATATGACGACGTATACGATCCAAACATTTCTGATAAATTTAATCCACAGACTAAAGACCAAGAAAAAGAAGAAAGGAATGGATTATAATGCCGATATACCCTTTGAAAAGAGGCCAGCTCTTGGGTTTTACGATACTTCTGCGGAGAGAAATCGTCCTGCTGAATCAGCAATGACAAATGTTGCATTACAAAAGTTAGAAGGAAAGCGTCGTGCAGAGATTGCCGATGAAAAAAGACGAAAGCGACAAAAAGTGGGAAAAGAGGACAAAGAAGGCGGAGCAATTAACTTTGTGCCCGCTAGGAATGCACAGCTTAATAAAATCAAACAAGCCGAACAAATAAGCAAACGAAGGAAGCTTGTCTTGCCAGCTCCTCAAGTTGGAGAAGATGAATTGGAACAGGTTTGGATCCAAATCTAGTTGTATTATTAGCCATATGCGTGTTATCCTTTCTGATTATATTTCATGTAATCATAGATTGTTAAAATTGGGTTTGCTGGAGAAACCGCAAAAGCTGTTGTTGGTGAAAATGAAAGCTCAACATCACTTGGAGACTACACACCTGCAACAACGTTACCACTGCGAACACCAAGAACAGTAAGGACTGGTGGTGCGCCAACAACACCGAAAACACCAGGCACAGTCATGACACTCAGAACACCTTCTCGTACGCCCGGGCCAGGTATGACAGTTAGAAATGGTTTACATTTGTTTCAATATGGTTACAAAGTACTTATACTTACTTCTGGCATTAGCAAGCGCTGCAGCTATCAAACAGTTAAAGGCGGGATTGTTGAGTCTGCCAAAGCCGAAAAACGATTTTGAAATCATACTACCTGAAGTTGAGGAAACTACAGAGGATGCGGACGATATGCAAGGTGTCGAGGAGGATGCTAGTGATCGGGACCGCAAATTGAGGGAACTTCAAGCTGCCGAAGGTACGTAGCCGTTAGTTGAAATTCTTGTTAGAGTTATTTGAAAGTTATGGCGGACGCGTATAAACATTACATTTATTAAATCGACAGAACAAGCTCGTCTTGCTCGTAGATCTCAGGCTGTACAGCGCAATCTACCGCGACCTGCTACTGTCAACTCACGCGCTTTATTGGAGACAGCTAGTGAATCAGCAGAAACAAATGATATAGAATTAATGATATGTCAGGAAATGAGCAAGTTGTTAAGCCATGATCTTATCAAGTATCCAGTAGCCGGTAGCAAAATCACAAGCAGTGACTCAACTCCGCCAATAGAAGAATTTCCGGACGAGCTAATGGCAATTGCAAGACAAACAATTAATGAAGAATATCAATCACTAATTCAAAACAACGGATCCGACACACAAGATCGGCTTCTTCCTTCTGAAACAGAACTACAGACTATGTGGACTAAAGTGCATGATGACATAAATAATGAAGATAATACGATAGAGAAGTTGCAGTATGTACATGAGGTAAAGTGTAACCTGATAATCTAGCATTTCGTTAATTATCGTACTGACATTTTACATTTATAAATCAGATGAATAAGAATAATATGCTTAAATATGCCCAAAGAGCAAGCAAATTAGAAAAGAACCTTGATGTGACTTTGGGTGGTTATAAGGTATGTCTCTGGGCATGTATCCTGGTTATAACTTAGCACGCGACTATTAATCACATTTACGTTTACATGTTTCCAAGGCTCGTTCCCAAGCTTTATCTAAAAAACTGCTTGAAACTTTTGGCGAACTGCAGCAATCGAAGATTGAATTGGATTCATTTAAATCTTTAAGTATCGTAGAAGGAGATGCCGTGCCTAGACGCATAGCGGTAAGTTTGAGTTTTGTTTTGTTTTTTTACAAACTCGATGATACAAGTGTCCGAATCTTTTACTTTATATGCAGGGTCTACAAAAGGAGGTAGAGGAACTCGCAAAGCGAGAACGTGAGTTGCAAGAGCGCTATGCAAAACTGTCAGCTGAAAAGGAAGATGCAATTCAAAGGGTCAATGCACTGCGTGCTTTGATGCCGCAGTAATTTATATCTTTGTTCGAAATAAAAAGAAAAGAAAAGAGATCATTTATTTTAGAGACTATTTGATCACACCAGAGATTCAAATCCCAACTCAAGAAAAGCTTAGTTCGCTTGTTAGCAAGCCTCTGGATATATCAAAATCCTTTCGGAGGAAGTGAAACGTATCAATGGCCTATACTGAAGTCTGAGAAATATCTCGAGCTGTACAAACCACTTAATGATAAAGATTCGGAAGTTACTGACGGACCAGTGAAAGGAATTCCAGAGTTATGGCTTACGGCCTTGAAGAATCTATATACAATCTCAGAGACTATTACGAAGCGCGTCTTTGATATACTCAATATATGAAGACTCGATACAGTGAATTTGGCACAAGTATTATTAAATTTTCACTCGATATAATAGTATGCTTATTATTATTCCTTATGCTTGTTTTATGCTTTATTATGCCCACATACTAATGTTAATAATAGCTGTTGTCGATGCGTGCGCAAAAAAATCGACACAGAATATTAAGTACAATTTGAATTTGACTATACCGATTGGCTTAATTCTTCAAAGACGCGAAATCAATTTTCGTCGTCAATTACTAACTCAAGAACCAAGAACCCAATGCCCATGAAATTGTTAATGAACTGATTGGCTGGTTATTTTCGACGCGAAATCAATTTTCGTTGCCAATCACTAATAACATACGTAGCAACCAAGAATCCAATGCTCATATAATTTACATGTTTGTTAATGATAGCTGTTGTCAATGTGTGTGCAAAAAATTAGCATAGAATAATAAGTACGATTTGAACATGCATGGACGGCTGGCGCATTAATATTAACAATAGCAATATCTAACAGACTCATAATTTTCGAGATGCAACTTATAAAGGAATCCATTGAAACGCTCTTGCAAGATACCGCAACCCTGACCTTAACAGTTACTGACAACGAATTTAGTACTGATAGTACTTACATAGACTCTTTGTTATATTTCAAAGCAATAAACAAAGTGGTAATAATTAAAACGTTGTTTATGAATAAAACTCTATTAATATTAGAATGGCCATAGTTGCAACGGAGAAACTATGCGCAATGCAGGGAGAAACTATGCGCAATGCAGGAAGAAACTATAATACTATTATATTTTGCCGGGTGAAACTTTGTCAACAGATTGTTTTAAAACGAATGTCTATTTCGTTGCAAACGCAAAGTTGTTCGAAAAAGTAAGTCTGTAGGTGAAATTTTTATTATAAACACTATCAATGTCCCTAGTCTTCTCATATACTGTAATGATGATAATTTGTCAATAATCATGTATTGGATCCTATAAGCGAAGAATAATACTATGTTAAACTTGGCTAATTTATCAAGAGCCTTCACTTTCATGCAGGATGTCAACCAACACCTCATTTGCGGACCAGTCACCATAGGCTTTCTTTCCTGTAAGGATATAATGGATGCATGTAAATACTAGTGTTAGAGAAATAAATGTTACCAAAATAACACAGATCTTTAAGCTGGACCGAAAGGTGTTCCCAATCATTGTTTGGTTTGATCTCAGCCAACAGATCATTAAACTTGAAAACGTTGTTGAAGGGCATTCTACATATAGAAGCCTCAGGCTTGCGTCTGCCACATATGAGCACAGTCATAACTCTGGGACATAAATGGATTTCAGAGCATCTGTAGCCTTACCCAATAAACTTTATATAGCAGAAAACAAATAATGACAATATCTCAGCTTACCTAAGAATGAGTTCAATGTATGACATCACAATATGTCCCAAACGGACCTGCGATCGCCGCACCAAAGCATGTTGAAGATGACGGATGTCTGGTAAGGCAAAGCCTTAACAAAGACCCATTTTTAAGCAAAACCAAGACCCTAAGGTGCGGAAAGATCGCTTCTGGGGGAATGAGAGGCCCAGCTACAACCTCTATTCTCCAGCAATAAGTAAGTTGTACCCAATACTGCTACGGTAAGCTGGTGCATGCTTGCATGTTGAATACGCGGCGATGTGCTAAGCAGACCTAATGCGTATCAAGACCCATAGCAGCACCGTAGAACGGGATAGAGACGCGAAAATTGCCCATCAAACTATATTTATGTAAATTATCACGTGATAGAAAAAATTTCGACAGCCACATATTTGTGTTACGATCGGGAATTAAATGGGGTTTTGGGAGAGCGATTTATCTTTTCGTGTAGGTGTGTTCGCCGACCGGGGAATGTTACCAGGCTTAGCTCGTACTATCGCCCTTACTACGATAGTTGT